GGGCGCCCCCCGACTTTGCCCTGCCACGCACCCGCAAACCCCGTGACAAGCGCTCGGCGGACCGGCGACAAGCTATTTGCACATTTGCATATTCATTATGCAAATACAGAATTTGTTTAATGTTTTGGTTCAAACCCTCCTCTGCTGGCACTTAATCTGGGACAGTTGCTCAGATTGGAGCAGCTCCGGTTTGGGAATCTCCCTCACTTCCGCACAGTGAAGGCCAACGCAGAGGGGCCCCATCCCCCCGAGTTCGGCGGACCGGCGACAAGCTATTTGCACATTTGCATATTCATTATGCAAATACAGAATTTGTTTAATGTTTTGGTTCAAACCCTCCTCTGCTGGCACTTAATCTGGGACAGTTGCTCAGATTGGAGCAGCTCCGGTTTGGGAATCTCCCTCACTTCCGCACAGTGAAGGCCAACGCAGAGGGGCCCCATCCCCCCGAGTTCTCCTGGAGCGCCCGGGCCCCACCGGCTGTTCCGCAGGCTCCCTGCTGCTCTGGGCTTGCACTTGGTTTGGCTGCTAGTTTTGGGCTTTTGCCGACTAGCCTTGCACACTAGGCTCCTTTCTAGCTCATGGGGGTTGGCTGCCGATGCTCAAAGGCCTCCGCCCGCCTCCCCGGGGTAACCACCGTGGCAGGTTTTGCTCCTCTTCCTTTTTGAATGTGGGAGGGACGATGTTTGGGCCTCTGTTACTGGGGAGTTAAACCGTTTCCGTGCAGCTTTCCGGCATTTCCTTCTCGGGACTGTTCCTTCGCATTTCCACGGTAGCCGCCTCACTTTCGTGGGCCTCCTTTCGGACGCGAAATGCTGCTTTGCCGGGTTTCTTTGCCGGGCTCCCTAGCTGAGGATGTTCCATGGAGCGGATGAAGTGGGGCTTGCCCCGAAAGCGGGTGACACTAGAGACTTTGTTAGTCTCAAGGTGCCACGGGACTGGTGTTTGGAATTCCTGGGGGCTGCTAGGACCCAGGGAGCCTGCACCCCACTTAGGACTAAATCTAGAATCGCCTCTCCCCTTGGGCTCCAGGACGAGCTACTCCAAGAAGCAGTCGTGAATGGGGCCTGGAAATGTTACCTCCCCGTCCTGCCCGGACAGACACGTACCCAGGCAGTACGGGATCAGAAATCCTGCATCATCCCCGCGCGTCCTGGTTTCGCTGAGTCACCATCACCAGCCTGGTCCGGAGGTCGGCAGGACCCTTCTGCTGCTGGACTCACCCTGCAGGCGCAGCGCGTCGGCCCGGAGTCCAGGGCGGTTGGGCACATTGATGATTTTTTGCTAGATTTGACTCTGTGCTTCCTTTCGCCCGCCAGCCCGGCCTGCTCCGTCACTCCTGCGGGCGTTCCGCCTGGGATCCCTGCGTCCCATTGTTCCACCAAGTGTCCATGACGCCGGCTTGAGCAACACCCTCGCTTGATCCCCGGCGCGTAGGGTTTGGATTCCAGCATCTGTGCAAAGTGCTTAGAACATTGGCCCTCATTTAGTTGCCTGTCTGCATAATGTGTAACTTGAATGGGGCTGTCTTTTGTCTGACATGCCCTGAATCCCCCATTAGCCCCCCACTGCACACCTCTATACCCTCACTG